AAAGTCAATTCATTGTAAACCTCAGTTGTGATGATATTGATACTAGCTTTCATTAGAAACTGGCTATGCACAACATAAATTCAACTATGCTTAATCCCAAATCCAACTTTTCTAATTTTCACTTAAGAAATTTATTTTTAATTTTGTATTGATCCACGAATATACAATGGTGATTAAAAAAAAATTTAAAAAAAATTATTTTTCATAATATGCTTATTATTATAATATTAAATCTAACAGCAGCAGCAGCAACAAAAGCCTTTCGAGTCATCATCGTACGGCTCATTAATCCCGCCAAACTCCTCCGCCTGTTGTTCCGCCAGCTCAGCTTCCTTATAACGGTAAAAAACCGCCACAACTATAAACACAACAAGATTAACCGCCATCAGCCAAGCCAATGTCCAGTAGTACTTATCAAGCCTACTCCCATTCAAATCATGTTGAAACCACATTTTCCCTCCCCTTTCACTAATCCTCCCCACAACGTAAACCGACACCACACTGCACAGAATCCCGACACCCGAAACACCACTAACGAAAAACGGCAAGCACCTATGCGTCGAAACAGGCGATTGGTCGATAAAGAAACTAATCGCACTGTAATTAAAAATCCCGTTAAACCCTCCGAGCAGAACAAACTGCGGAAGCAGCCAGAACATAGTCATCGGCACTCTTTCGTCGGGCTTATCAACTAAACCGTGCCTTTGAACCACGCCAAGCCTTCGATTCTCCACTTTCGCGGCGGTTATACAGCAAAGAATCGCAAGTATCATCGATACTGAAATCCCGAACGAAGGAGCTAGCTTTCTTGATTTGGATATTCCCAAGGCATTCGTGAACTTGACGTAGAGTTACACGCATTGGTTTTGGGCTTGCTCGTAGAACCAAAGAAGGGCTACCGTTGGGACTTTGAGGCGGCCCACTTTAGGGTTCAGGTGATCTAGTTGCTCGATGAAGTATGTGAATCCGATGGCTGAGACTACGCCACATAGGATGAAAGTCATCCACACGGGAATCATGCGTATGATGGTTTTCGTCTCTTCCACTTCTGTTACCGTGCATAGCCTCCACGTGTTCTTCGCTTGTTCCTCTAGTGGCTTTGTTGGTATTACAATTGCTGCCTTGTCCAAACACCTGTTAAAATCGATGTCCGAATATACGACTAAATTATTTAATAATTAAAAAAGAAAAGAAAAAAAAGGGGTAATAAATAAATAAATAACCTGAGGCTCCTCGTGTGTGGAACGGAGTAAAGCTGAGGGTTATCGATCTCGAAAAGCTGCTTACTATCTTTAGGAGTTCGGTAAAACAAGTTCGAAAAAGCGGCAACAAAGACTCGGAAAAACACGGTTAAAGGGCTTCCCATTGGCTTGAAATACTTGTAAGAACACGAGCCGCTCAAAAACAGAAGAGTGGCGACAAGTGTACATATTGCAGGAATACCGAACCGTAGGGACCACGGCTTTACGTACGGGAGTCCTAATACGGCAACGAAAGTGACGATGATAACTGCTAAAACACTGCAAAAGAACCTCCAAAACGTGCCCTCGTCGAGATTGTCTTCTTCTCCGCTAAACTGCTCCGTCATGAAAATATTCCAAGAAGTCATGTGACCTCCCATTCCGAAAGCAATCAACGGCATCGCTACGTAGAACAGTATTTTTTGGTCTTCACCGATTGCTTCGGGGCTGTATTCTTTGCAGTTTCCCATACTGGGTTGCTAGTACAGGTGGCGTCGACATTGTCAAGAACCCTAATCCCTGCAAAAAACAAAAAACAAAATTGATTTAGAGATTATAGGTAATAAAAAGACTATATAAAAGGGAAAAGGAAATAAGTAATTTTACGGCGCTGTAAGAAAAGCTGGAGAGCAAGAGCATCCAGTAATTGCCGGTGAAGGTGTCGGCTATGAAAGATAGGAACAAAGGAGATAGCGAGACGACGCCCCAGAAGATGTTGACTATCGCGGCGGCGTGTGTGAAACCGATCTTCCAAACGTTGGTTAAGTACGACATCATTACATACATCGCGTACATAGCCAATATGTCCACCCATAGCAGCACTGCCAAATTAAAAAAAAATGTTGGAACAATTTCAAGAAAATTATTAATTACGACGAAAATCGATGATCAATTAGCGGCTAATATATCATGTACTTACCAACTACTCTGCCAACCGTTGCCATTAGAGCTTCTTACTCTGTTCCTTTTTTTTTTTTTTTTTTTTTGTTCGCCTGAGAAACCTTGGACTGGTTGTAATTACAGATAATGTAGCTTGTTATATATATATTTTTGGTAGCGCGTAAAAGAGAGACCATGGCTGATTTTAATTGGTGAAAGTCAACTTCGAGGAAAACAGGACACCCCATAACTAAATTCAAATTCTATTACATATTTACAAAAAAAAAAAAAAAAAACTATAACATAATTCTGGCTGAAATTGATATAAAAAATTCCATAATCATTTGCTCTAATTTTTTTTATTTTTTTTCAATACCGCGTTGAAATAGTGCATTGGATGTGTATCTATCTGTCTGTATCGTGTAATTCCATTTAGCTTAGTTGTACGGCGGTAAGAAGTTTCTAAGAAACCAATCAGATGTTACTAAACAAAAATTAACGTACGACGTTGACTTGCAAAATCGTTGCTTACTCACCAGCAATTGCAAGAAGGACTTCTTTACTCCAAGCTTTACACACAACTGGTAACAAAACACAGAACCGTGTCGATTAAAATACAGAACCATGTCGATTGCGACGACGCATATTATACAAACAATGCACTATTGTTTCCGACAACAAAGTCCGTAACTATCGATGCATGACTACCTATTTTCTTTCGTGATTGAGAAACATATGTCGAATAAATAATCAATTCAATCGACCGATCATAAAACCGAGACAACGCCCGAGTTGTGAGAACTTTGCCAAACCTCGATCCCTTCAGCGTTTTCTCTCGTCACAAAAAGCCTATCTCCACCCCCCTCGATTTTCTTAATAACCCCTCGTTCCGAATCCTCCAATTTATCCACACAATTTCTTCTATACATATACACTCCTTCGTTTTCATCGTTTCCCTCGATTCTTGACCACACCTCTAACTCACCCTCTCTACCAACAAACACTTGCTTTCTATAACAATGCACCGCAAAATTACCGCCACCGTTTCCTCCCAAATTGCTCATACTCGGATTCTTCTCCTTCAAATACACCCACGGATCGTCGCTCAATTTACGCAAATCCGCCATTGCCAAATCACCCGACTTCGAACAAATCTTGAACAACGACAGCTCATCGACATCCACGTCGGTATCCGCGAACGAATCGCCGAACCGGCTGCTCCGGCCCGAACCCGGTTCGTTCGTTTCCCAAACCACGTTCCGGGTTCGCGGGTCCCACAAACGGATATAACCCGCGCACCCGAATGACCCGGATGTCACGGAACTCCCGATTAAAATTCCCATGTCCGGTACATACTTCAGCTTCGTGGGGACCATGTTCTTCGATGAATTTCCTGTTATTCTACCGATTTCCGACGAAACCCTCATCGTTGATTTATCCAGCATCAATATGCAGTTCTCGCCGTGGTGGCAATTGTATGAAGCGAAAATTGAATCGTCTGAATCGGCAATGGCGTGGACTCGGGCCTTGTATATCCTCACATCGGACGGGTCGACCCATTCGGCGGAGTGGACCCGTCGCCCGTTTGCCGTATTGTACAGATGCAAGCCCGACCCGTTTAGGGACCCGACGGCGGCGATCTCGGAATGGATCCTTCTGACCGATGTGATGAAATCCAGATGCGTCCGTACAGTTTCCGTGTGGCTGAGATTCCAATCGTAGACCGTAATCTGGCCGCCGTGGGCCACCCACAGCGATCCATCAGACTCGATGGCGTTGAAGTCCGAAACGACGCCGTCGGATGAGGGTTTGACGGTGGTGAAGACGGAGGCGTCTATGCCGTTGAGCCGGGTCGGGGCGAGCGCGGACCGGAGCTGGGACTCGATGCCGAAGTAGATGGCCTCGTCGATTAGCTCCTGATTGGAAAAGCGTTTGGCGGTGGAGGGGAGGCGGTTGGACCGGAGGAGGGAGAGGAGGGTGGAGAAGATACCCGGGTCGCGGTCGATGAAGACGGGGTCGTGAGCCGGCCGGTTCGAGAGGGCGGATAGGAGTGAATCTGGCCCGCCGGAGCGGAGAGTGGAGACGGTTGTTTCGAAGAGTTTGCCTCCGACGTTGAGTTTGATTCGTTCGCCGCCGGTTGGGTCGTCCATTTTGCGGTGGATTATTAATTAGGTCTGGATTGGTATAATCGGAAAGATTTGTCCTTTTCTTGAGTGATGATGATGTAATAGAAGAGTTGTTGTACGATGAAATTACATTAGTAGTAGCTGTAGAACACATCTTTTTACCAAGTTGTTTGTGTCAGCTCATAGATTCTTGGATTTTCCTTTACACAAACTTTTGAATTTTGATGCAATCAATTATGATAAATTTTTAGAACCTAATTTAGCTATTGAAAAAATAAATGTATTCGTTTAATTTGATTTACAAGAATTTCGTCAAGATTTTTTTTTTTTTTTTATCTCAATAACTCTAAATTATATAAATTTAAAAATAATATCCCAAATCTAAATATTTGAAATCTACCTAAACATAAAGTTACATTATGAATTTTTATATTCACCTTCAGATCCATTGGTTATGTTTTTTGGGCTTTATTTTATAAGTTAAAATAGTGTATTAATTAAATGGGAGGAAAAAATGCCTCTAACAGGGAAACCACCATCACAAAAACAAGAAATAGGTAACTGATTTGCATCGACAAATCTATTCCACTTGCATGGGAAACCCGATTTTTGCTAGATTGTGGGCACAAAAGTTTGCATTTGTTCTTAGTATTCCGAAACCAATGCAAACATATGTATTTTGTCTAAGTTTATTGTCCAAAGTGAATGTTCATCATCACATTTCACAAAACTCGTGTAGAATGCAAAAATAAAGTAAAATGTAAATTATTTGCAGAGTTTCTTTGTATTTAGTGATGAGTGACTAGGCTGAAATGGATCGAGTAGGCCCAATAAAAAACATTTAATTTGGGCCTTGGAAACACTTTAAGATCCATATTTTTGTGGGGGATTTGGGCTGAGTTTAAAGCATTGGATACTTCTTAATTATCGTTTTATCGAATTTTCCTTTATTGTATGAGAAAAGTAGTTTGGTCATATTTATATATTAGGGTAAGTTACGGTCTCCCCCTTGAGGTTAGGTCAAATTTTAAAAACACCCTATATGTTTGGTAATTACGATCACCCTTCTGAACTACGTATTTTCTTACGAAAAAACTGTTCATTTAATAGGTAAATTTGACATCATAAGAATGAACATGGGGATAGTTGTAATTATCCAAACAGTAGATTTTTTTTTTTGTAATTTAGCCCTAAAACAATATCGAAGTGTAAAATCGAAAATCAAATCACACTAATTCTCCAAAATCAGAAATCTCGAATTGATTTTTTTTAATTAGTCCAAAAATTCCGTTTCAATTGTACACAATCTGTTACACACCTTTTTCCAGATAAATGAAAGCCCTTCCAAAAATCATGATTGTGTTGGTATGTGTAATAATTGTTGTATGAAAACAAACATTTGATTCACGTGAATCACGACACCTTTGTCTTATTGACTATGATAAAAAGTGTGTGTGTGATGATTCAATTGGAATCCCAGAACACTGTAAATAAACATCTGCCATAATTATCATGCTACTATTATTCACTGTCCTTGTAGATTTATTACCCTGAAAATAACTCACACCTAAAGCATTTCCCCAAGGTTTAATAATTTTCATCTTCTAACCAAACAATATACCCAAACATTTACTTCTTTGCTGCATGTATTTATATTACCAACTACTCCCTCCGTTCCTAAATAATAGTGATTTTTCATTTTCGCGCAGGTATTAAGAATTTCAATAAATGCTTTTTAACTTAATGATGTGATACATATCGAATTAATATTATAGTTTGATTGAATAAACGAATGGTTGATATGATTTTTTTTCTTAAAATTCATGTATTCGAGTTTCATCCGACTAAGTTTTCAGAATGAATCTCCGAACACGAACACGCACACACACTAATATACATTCAATGGGAAAATTCTTAGAGAATTTCATAACAAAAACACTATTAATCAATAATTGAATAACAAATATACATATTGGCTATTATTAATTATGCATCAAAGCATCACCATTTTCACAAGCCCTACAAACAAATTCAATTTCTTGCTATTTAACTTCTTCACTTCCAATTTTTTTCCCCTCGAATTCGATGAATTAAAAAGAAAAAAAAAACACGAACATCTGAAAATCCACGAATTAAAATATCACTTCTTCGACCGAACAATTCCATCGGTCCCAGCCATCATCACATACTTGTCCTTCCTAGTCAAATTAGTGCACTCAAACCCCAAAGTTCCCGCCAAAACCTTCTGTATATAATTAGCAACCTCGATTGGCGATTTCCCGCCACCAACCGTCAACTCGGGCGGCAACTGATTCAAAAACGTGATCTCGTAAGTTGGCCTCGGGTTCATGAAGACGAAATACGGGTCAAGTACTTTGTACCCGCGCGCCGTCGTCCCATAAAACACGCTTTGCTTCGTGTCAATCGCAACCGGCACGATTCTATCGCTCAGCTCCGCAAAAAGCGCGCTGAACCTCAACAGAAACGGTTCCCTGCATGTGGTCCCCTCGGGGCATATCACCAGATCACCTTCCTCCAGCAACCGCCGTATGTTCGCCGCGTCCTTCTCCCTCTCCCTCGACAGCGCCACCGCTTTGATCGGGGAGATCAGCTCCGAGAACTTGCTTATGCTGTAGGTGACGCAGCTGATCTTCCGTCCGAGCGCCACCGCGGTCACGACGGGGTCGAGGATGGTGCGGTGGTTGCAGACGAAGAGGACGCCGCCGCGGCCCGGCCGCGGCGGCGGCGGTGGAGTTCCCTTGACGATGAGTTTGATCCCGAGTATCATGTAGTTGTAACGTACGATTCGTTCGGGTAGAGGGATGTTGGCGTAAACCCTAATTAGGGCTAAAACAACCCCGATCGGCATCCATAGGAACGTGAGTAGTGCCACTAACGGCGTCGGCCTTTGCACTAAACGACCCTCGTGGAAAATGACCGGCGATAGAAGTTTCGATCTCGGCAATGCCTCTGTTCTTGTTCTTGGCACCATGTATCCCTCCTGTAATAAATTATTTTTTTTTTAAATTAAAATAAAATGGACAGCTATGTAAATGGATCCTTAATTATTTCCTATTTTTATTGATTGGTCCAACTAAGTACTATTGAGTGTGACATATAAGAAAGTTTAAGTAGTACTAGTTTGTTTATTTAATTTGGGGTAGATCAAGAAACATTGTTGTAATAACAAAATTGGAGAAATCATTAATGAATTACCTAACTTGGTACTAAAAGTAGGCAGCTATTAAATATGTGCATGAAATTATAAGATGGGAGGCCCCATTAGCTAGTAATTGTGGCTTTTATAAGTTAAACTGATGAAGAAGTGCATAAAGTTAATCTGTAACTTACCATAAATTGCAATAATGACATTGTTATATACAAATATGCAATATCGAAAAGTCGATAACGAAGTAAACAAAAAAACATGAGGAAAGCGCTATCCGAATATACGCCATGAAAAAAATAGCATGAGATGTGCATGGGTTTGTCATATGATAGATATGTAAGAATATACATGTAAGAATTAGGTGTGACAAACTGTTCAAACTACACCAACCGAACCTTACCTAAACGATCGTATTCATTAAGATTGCGGGCGTAAAATCGAGAATTAATCCAAACATACACATGCATAATTAACTACAAATTTGAAAGATAAAAAAGGTGTTTAATTATATATAATTAGTGATAATGTGGAATTGATCACCTTGCATATGGACATGAAATCGTGATCGGTCTCTCTATCACCAAGCCCCAAATCGGGCACGTTTGGCCCGAATTCCTTGACAACCGCCATTCTCTTAAGATCACCAACAAGAACACCCGGTTTCGTCACAAACCCGGTGGCCAGCCCGTTTTTCGTCACCTCCAATTCCGTACCGAGTACCTTGTCCGCACCCAAATAATTCTTAACAAAATGCTCCACCATGATCCTAGGATTCGCAGTCACTATACATCTCTTACCGAACGAATCGAACACTTTCCATGTCTCTGGCCGCACATCCTCCGCATAGAACTTTGGCAAAACAGACCGTGCGACGAGCTCGATGTCACGTATTTTGAGACCCGAGAAGGAAATGTAAATTAGGGTTTGGATTGCGAAGGATTCGGAGACGAACAAGTAGACAAAGTAGACGAAGGGGACAGCTGTCAGGAGAAGGAATGCCCTAATAAGGGAGCCGGCTTCTAGAGCGACGAGCATGAAGTACGGAAATGCACTTGTGGAGATCAAGAGTGTTCCGTCTAGGTCAGCTGCCACCGTTTGGTTGGACCGGTCTTTAGTGCTGCATTTCGTTATCGGCTCGAAATTCCGACGAGAAACCATTTTGTTAGAGAGAGAGAGAGAGGAGAGAGAAAAGGGATGAAGTGTGTATAGTTTTTGGTTCAATGTTTGTTGAGATTATTATGTTATTATTACAAGGTGGGAGGGAGGGGTTTAAAAAGAAATGAGGAAGATGGTTTGTCAAAGTTGTTGTGTTGTACACAAAATGA